GCCTAAATAAATGAAATATGGCAACGTTGTTTCATGCTGTCAAAAAAAGTTGGGTTATGTTGTTATGTAATGTGAATGAGTTTGTTTACAATTAAATTAATAATTAATGCAAAATTAATTTCTTTTTCCGAGATGCGTAAACCTATCCACAAACCTTCCTTGGGATGGCCATAATAAACTACCAAAGTTTCATCGTAATCGGATAAGTGGTTTTAGAGCGCATATCCGGATACCCCGTGAACTTTGATTTTTATATATATATAGATATGGGTGGCCTAAGAACAAAAACACAAGAACTCTTTAGAAATGCTGTTAGCTGTAATTTTGACTTCATAGTCCTCACTGAAACCTGGCTAAATTCCTCTTTCAACAATTCTGAATTATTGCCTCCTCTCTACACAATATTCCGAGCCGATCGGGATTATGCAGCAACCAACATGGATCGCGGAGGGGGAGTTTTAATAGCGCTAGACAGCAACTTTCAGTCTTCGCTTATGCCGACTGCAAACTTTATTGAATTTGAACAAATATGGATCCACTGTATCTGTCCCAGCTGTGAGATGGTGATCGGATCAGCATACATCCCTCCAAGTTCCCCTGAGATGACTTACAGGTCATTTGTAACAGTATGTGAATCATTGAAAAACAAATATGCAAATGCCAGTTTTATCATATTTGGCTACTTCAATTTTCCGAATGTCAACTGGATCACAGAGGATGATTTTCTGGTACCTGAATCTACACACTCCTTGGCCGAGCAAACTCTGATAGATAGTATGTTCTTCATGGAACTTCAGCAACTTAACAATGTGAAGAACAGCTACAATAGATCCCTGGATCTCATTTTCGTAACTGAACTTTCTCTACCTGTGATCAAAACCAGTGACTTTCCACTGTGTAGGGTGGTTGATATACATCCACCTCTGGAGCTTAGTTTCTCATATAAAAGTATACAAATGTTAAAAGTCGATGATCCTGCTACTATCTACCTTTTTAAACAAGCAATCTATACGGAACTAAACAATTACTTCAACAGTATTGACTGGAATCTGTGCTTACGTAATGGCGACTCTAATGAAGCGGTTACTAGTTTGTACAAAGTTATACAGCAAGGAATTAATCAGTTTCTTCCCAAAAAAACCATCAGAGTAGACAAATATCCCAATTGTTTCAACTCTGAGCTAAAAAAGTTAATTGCACATAAAAATCGACTCTACAAGAAGTACAAAAGATCAAGACGGCAAACGGACTATGAAGCTTACTCTGAAGCCCGGAAAGACGTGAAGTACCATAGTGATATGTGCTACCTGTTACATGTTACCAAAGCTGAGCATTTGATTCCGTCAAATGTGAAACACTTCTGGTCATTTATAAGATCTTTGAAGAGAGATACAGGCTTGCCGAATCAGATGCATTTTAACAATATCCGTTCTTCGAACCCTCAACAGATTGCTGAACTCTTTGCTACACACTTCAAGAATTGTTACTCTGATCAAGGAAGACTACTGCTCAGTCCCTTTTGGACCTTACCTCTCTGATCATCTTTTCACGGCCGAGGAAATACAGAGAAAAATTCTGGATCTTGATACCTCAAAGAGTCCTGGACCAGATGGTCTCTCCCCAGTGTTTCTTAAAGGCTGTTGCACATCTCTGATAGAACTTCTGAAGCATATTTTCCAACTTTCTTTGGATGCTGGCATTTTTCCCAGAAGTTGGAAAGTCTCAACACTTTTCCCTATCCATAAATCAGGAGATAAAACTGATGTGAATAATTATAGAGGCATATCTCTACTATCGCACATTCCCAAAATTATGGAATCCATTCTAACAGACGATGTGTACTCATGCTTTAGTGACTACATTGCTAACGAACAGCACGGTTTCTGCAAGGGAAAATCCACTGCTACAAATCTTGCTTTCTATCAACAGTTCCTAGCGAAAGCTTTGGAATCAGGAAAACAGGTGGATGTGATCTTCACGGACATTTCAAAGGCCTTTGATAGTGTGTGCCATAAGTTGTTATTAAAAAAACTCTCAGATATGGGCTTAGGTGCACGTTTCTTAAAATTTATAGAATCGTACTTAACGGAAAGATATCAGAAAGTCGGGGTGTGCGGTGCAGTATCCCACAAGTTCATAGTTCCATCCGGGGTCCCTCAGGGATCACACATCGGACCGATTCTGTTTGTTCTCTTAGGAGGATAGAAGGAGTGCAAAATAAATTTGCCAAATACCTGCTCTACAAATTGAGATTTCCTTACCAGAACCTTGAGTATGAGACTCGTCTACAGCTCTGCAGCATACTCAACCTTGAGAATCGACGCAAAAAGGCCCAGCTCATTTTACTTTACAAAATTCTGCAGAACATTGTCAACTCGTCTGAACTTCTGACAGAAATTGGATTTCTGGTTCCTGGAAGAAGAACCCGACAGAGGCAGCTCTTTTTCTAACCTGTCCATAGAACTAACTATGGTTTGAATTGCATCATGACGCGTCTAGTCACTAATTATAATCAGGATTTTTCCCATATAGATCTCTTCAATACCAACCTGAATGTAATAAAAACAGAAATGTGTACATAATTGGACTAGGTATATTCTTTATATCTAACTATATATCGTTTAATAATAATTGTGTATATTTGTATATACTTATTATTTTTAAGGTTTATTTCTTCAGTGTACCATTTAGAAATTTGTTCTGTAAAGTGCACTTAAACATAAATAAATAAATAAATAATTGGATGAAATTTAAAAAAAAAAAATCGTTGAGATTTTGTGTCCTAATGGTTATTTAGGATCCCCCAAACTCCATACACTAAAAATTTCAGCTTTATATCTATAATAGAAAGTTTCCAAAAATCTAAATCAAAAATGATGAAGTTGCAAATTTTTCTATCACGAGATTTTGCTTTCAAAGTAGTAATGATTTCCTTTAGAGCGCCGGACAATAAAAATTCTCAAAGTAACTGTGTTTCTACCTGGTAATCGTTTGCCCGGTTTAGACAATAACTTTTAAAGGTCTACCTACAGTTAACTTCTACGATTCCCATATGGCGAGTCTGCGTTGAAAACGCTGTTAAGGATTAAGCCAACAGATGCATTAAATGAAATTCGTGATCAACACAGATTAAAATTAATCTTCAATTTTTTCCCATATTTGTTTCTACCCTAATTATTACCTTTCTATAGCAAAACAACAACCAATCAAGACTTCTAATTTGATTGCTGGTGACTCAGGGGGGCCCGATTAAACTAATTTTGAGGTCACCGAAGGCCTAATTGGCCCTAACGCTTCGCAAATTAGCCCATTATCGTATCGAGACGATTTGAACTAGTTTTTAACCTCGTGTATTACGTTTGTGTGTGCCCCAGAATAGAGATGGTAAACAAGCAAATTGGCGCCAAGAGACTTTTATTGGTTGAGTGTAAGAAATCCTTTTTAAAAGTAAACAATTTGTGTGTGTAAATGCACATAATGTTGTGTATAGACATTGAAAAAAGTGATCCGTTATAACGAGGAGCTTCTGTTGGAAGCAATTAAATACTGTTATTATTACTGGACTGGATATAAAACGAGCAAAAACATCACATCAATGAGGTTGTCTATTTCCTGATAAAATTATGTAGGTACTTTTTGATTCACAGTTTGGTTCATATTCATGTAAATCTTGATCTAATTAATTAATTGACATAGTAATTATCCATAAATCCTCTGGGAGTCTTATGTAATACACTGTAAAATGTGTATTACCTAAAAGGAAATGGTTTATTTCCATTGAATGCAAATGAAAGGCTGATCTAGATTTTTGTCTTATAAGGAAGCCAACCTATTTATGATTTATTGATTCAGCTGAAGTATTATGTAATAATTTTTGCTAATTATTGATCAAGTGATTTGGAAGAAAAAAAAGTAATTTTCCTTCGAGCCGGATTTGAACCAGCGACCTATGGATGTCTACTAAACTTATGCCAACTACAGTCCACCGCTCTACCAACTGAGCTATCGAAGGCGATACTTTTACATTGATTTGATTTACATTCGACTAAAATTTATTTAGAGTATTTTTGATTGGTGCAAATCGCCAACAAACACTATTTTCAACCAATGAACTTCCATTTGACTGGTTTGTGATTTCTGTGTAAATAGACCTACAGTATATTTTCGTAAGCTAATTTTCTATTGATTTCACACAACAGTTTTCCAGAAAAATGTCCATATAAGAAGTGCCAGTCCTATGTTGATGTTTTCCACTGAATCAATTTGAAATTTCATTCAAATGAGCTCCCAGTCTTCTTCCTTTTGCTTATAAAGTTTCTTTTCAACAATTTTCTAGAAAAATGCAAGACATTAGTCTCGTGGAATAGAACTTTCAATCAAATTTAGCATGAAAAGGCCCTACTTAAATCGAAATTATAATGGAACTAGGTCAGTAATGTGTTTTTAATGGAAACATGGATGGCCAATAATAGGAAATCGATGCAAGGAAACGGTAATAATAATAATTAAAAATAACAAGCAAACTGGGTCAAAAATAATAATGGTCCTTTAATGGAAACTGCCAAATCGATTTAAAAAATTCTCCTTTTGACCAAATACAATAATTTTATTAGGATTGTGTAAAGAAAAACATATTTATTGAATTTTATCAATATTGACCTGGTTATAGTTGACATGAAATGATAATCAAAATGTGCCATATAATCTTGTGGACAAGGAGAATTATAAGTATATTAAGGGGATGATGAAAATTTTTGAAGAATCATTTCAAATCAGAATTTATTATAATTAATTCAACATAATGAGAAATTCTTCAGGTTGTAACAAAACAAATTACACATTGTATTAAAAAGGTGTACTACAGCAATTTTGTCCTTGTTTTGTTGTATAACAGAAACAGGCACGAGGGACTTGGGCAACCGACCGAACTGTACCGATTTTCTCTAGCGCAATTAACAACGATCCGCAACAAACACACACAGAACAGTGCCGACAGGCAGTAAATACGGTAGTGCGGGGCAGGTACAATGATTTATTCGCGAAGTTTACGTCACATCAGCTGATTGTTGTGAACAAAACGCGCGATTTCCGTATGTGATTGAATGTCGCCCTATAGTCGTTACAGGCCCTTGTCGCCGGGCTCAGAAGCGGGGTTCGCCGCGGTTCTGAACGGTGGATCAGCGTCGGCTTCTGCTCATAGTGCTTGTAGGTTTCTGAGATGGATTTCGAAGTTTGGGCAACAGCCTGTTAATAAAGTGGGCTTAGGTGAGTCAAGATCAGAAAATACTGTATTCATTTATCTTGTAAAGCACAAAATAATTATATTTGGTAACAATCTCATGAATAATAATAATATTATCGTCAGCATTTTTAAATCCAGAAGTCAAAACACCAGATTTTTTTTTTTTTTTTTAATTTTCCCAGTTGATAAAAGCTTTCACCAAAGTATGAGAGCTCATTTGAGTGAAATTTCAAATTGATTCAGTGAAAAACATCAACACAAAAAATTCTTAAAAGTCAACTTCCAGAAACTAAATTTTATAAAAAACACTCTCACATGTTTGATTTTTTTTCTGGAAATCTGTTGCAGGAATCATTTTGAAATTTTTTGGATAAAGAGAGGAAGAATGGCAGCTCATTTAAGTGATATTTCAAATTGATTCAGTGAAAAACATCAACACGAAAAACTCTTGAAAATCAACGTCCAGAAACTAGACTTTACAAAAAAAACACCTTTGCATATTTCATTTTTTTTCTGAAAAACTGTTGCAAGAGAGGAAGAATGGGAGCTCATTTAAGTGAAATTTCACGAAAATCAACGTCCAGAAACTAGATTTTACGTGATTTATGTATTTACCATCTCACCCTACGGGCTTGTGATTGTATTGTCTTATTATTTTCATTTGTATTTTTGTTTTTGTTTGATTATTATGTATTTCAATTTTTGTCATTTTGTTTTATTTTTATTTTTTCATTAAATATAGGGATTCTTATGGTGTGCAACGCTGTGTCAAAATGATTGCCGGGCAATTATTATCATATTTCGCTTGCTCTAAATAAAAAAATGATTTCAGTTGGTACTACATTTGCAATACGATTAAGCGCATTTTCGTTACTAAATTTGTGAAAGTTTTAAGTGTACCTACACGGTCGCTAAACATACAAAACATTAATTCATTTTTAATTTTAAAGTTTAAAACTACGAAATTAACATCGAGTGGGTATGTTGAACCGCGGACACTTTTTGGCAAAGACCAAAGAATTTATTTTTAGTGTCGTCACTTTTGATGTTACGAGAAAAATGCAATTTAACGATTGTAAAATTCCAATTATGTATTGTCAAAGCAAAAACAATTAAAATAAAATAAAACTATGTAAACAAAAATAAAAATAAATAATATACAGGGTATTTGATTATATTTTGCACCATACCTACAGCCTTTACTATTCAAGATAGAAAAAATTTTTAAATACAAAACTTGACAGTTTTTTTTCTATATTTTCTGATAAAGTTATCAGAAAAAACAAACTCGCATCGGAAAATGGAGAAACGTAAGCAACTTTGACTTTTTTTAATGGAACACCCTGTATATTATGCGATAAAATGAAAGATCTATTCTTTCTGATTCCAAATATATGATATTAATAACATTTGCGTGAACAATTTTTGACATATCTCAGGTTAAATTATAAAGAATTTGCAGAGAAGTTCCATAAGGATCTCTATCTTTATAAAATTTGTTTGCAATTTAGTTATAGTTTAAGCTAAAATAGCTCACGCAAATGTGATCAACATATATATATTTGTAATCAGGAAGAAAAGGACTATCATTTTATCGCAAAATATACAGGGTGTTCCATTTAAAAAAGTCGAAGTTGTCTACGTTTCTCCATTTTCCGATGCAATTTTGTTTTTCCTGATAATATTATCAGAAAATATAGAAAAAAAACTGTCAAGTTTTGTATTTAAAAATTTTTTCTATCTTGAATAGTAAAGGCTGTAGGTATGGTGCAAAATATAATCAAATACCCTGTAATGTCTGCCCAGCGAGTCTGTGTCTACGGGGCAACAGTAAGGGGAATGCAGTTGTAAAAAAAAATGGCTGATTTCATTCATAAAATACCCAGCTGCGTGCGGAACTTTTTGAAAGTGTTATCGTATTGCAACTCGTATACGAAAATCAACAATGACCAAATCTCCGCCACTGGATATGTCAATATAAATCGATATTCCAAGATGGGAGGATAAAATGACGTGAGCCCTGGCCAATAGCGAGACGTAAGGTGACGTTAGCTCATTGACAACCGTATGGTTCCCCATGACAACGGCAATCCTGCCAAAAACTCCACCAATCAGGTTCATCCAGGACGGATGCTTGCCAAATTGACAAAAGCTGATGGTATCTTTAGAAAATGTTTATTTTTTACAATAGACCAAACTGAAAAAATCATGATTAAAATAAGAATAGGTCTAACAACCACGTTAAAATATTTAGCGTTTTATTATTGTTATCAATATTTTGTTATCAAAAAATGGATTTTCAAATTAACTATACTTCATGCCTAGCATTTTCGCTTTTTTATAATTAAACGTGGCAACATGGGACATTTACGTCCGAATTCCTTCCGTAGACTCAGATCCACTGGGCAAACAATACATACCTTCTTACTAAAGCGATAAAATTTCAAATTTTTTTTTGTCGAGATTTTGTATCCTGGTGGTCCAATCAACATACCCCAAACTCCATACACTAGATTATTCTCAGATTTGAAGCCGAAATCTATGAAAAAAAGGCACTCAGAAAAATTGAAAAATTGATAAATCACCCCAAATTGCTTAACACGATTTTATCTCAGGAACTATAAGTGCAAATGAGCTGAAATTTTCAGGGATTGTAGTCCTTTGAAAGGGATAAAATTCAGTGAAAGATTCAGCTTTCTATCTATAATAGAAAAAAAGTTATAACCTTTACTAACTCATACGGTACCTACACTTTATTTTTTTCCAAGATAGATTTTGGCATTGTCAACTTTGAAACATAAACAATGCCGATAATGCCGCTTATTGGTCGCTATTGTGAAACTGATGTCAACCTGCAGAAACACCTCATTTTGCGACCAGTCAGGGTCAAGCGTTATTGTTTATGTTTCAAAGTTTTCAATGTCAAAATCTATCTTGGGAAAAAATAAAGTGTAGGTACCTTCTTACTAAAATGATGAAATTTCAAAAGGACATCGCACACATCTTATGGGTTTTCGGGGACCGGTCGATTTTTTAAAAAATCTGGTATGTTGTAGTACTTGCAAAAATAAGCATTTTTCATCATTGCACCAAATATCTAAGTATACAGGGTGACCCAGTAAAGTGGGTCCGAAAATCATAAAACAAGTCTTTTAATTATCGATGCTGCAAAGTACATATCAGGATTTTTATTTTCACTTTCGCAAATAAATGGTCTAGATAAGCATACAGGGTGGCTAAGCTTGCGCATTATTTTAGAAATCCTGCCCTATTTCTTAGAAATAGTGTTACAAAAAGGTCGCGCTGGATTTTATTTGCCCGTAACTTTTTCAGTTTTTGTCCGATTTAAAGAAATGTGGTCTTGAAATAAAGCCACAGGGATTTCAAGAAATCGAAGAAATTACAAATAAGATAAAATTCGAGATAGCGGAGAGTGATAAAAGTATACATTTTTATTCGAACGTGGATTCTTAAAATCATTAAACCCAGTTTGAAATTGAAAACAAGAGCTAAAAGGGTAATGTTGAGACTAAATACCTAATCACAATTCATTAGTTGTCACAATTCCTAAAAATCGGCGTGATATGAGATACTCACACTTATTCAGCGTGTGATATAATAACATGACTCTTTTTTTTTTTTGACGTTATGATATACAGGGTGTTCCATTAAAAAGAGAAGACGGATGGCGCCACCCGCAGGTAGCTAGCACACCTGGGTTAAAAGTTATAGATAAGCATGTAAAATGGGTCACTCTCGGCTGGGACCAGTGCAACAACCTTTTATTTTTTAAAAATATTCTATTTTTTAAAAATATCCCAAATAACAAAAATAACTATTTTCTACGAACGTCACTAAAAGTGTCATTTTTAACGCATGATGTCAGTGTCTAAAATGCCATTTTATGACACTGGTGCTAAAAGTAATCACTTTTAGTGCGTTGGTAGAAAAAATAGTGTATGATATTCGTGCTAAAAGTAATTTTATTTTGTTCAAACTTCCCTTTTCACAAAATAAAATGTCACTTTTAGAACTTATATCATAAATAACTAATTTTGTCCCATAAAAGTATTAGAAACGCGTGAATATGTCATCAAGATGTGAGAGTTTAATGACTTTTGGGCGTGGCATCTCAAAAAAAAATTCCGCCTAGAGCCTCAGGCTGGATACGCCACTGGCTGGGACACCCTGTATAATAATTAATAAGTTAGTGCTATAACTTTGGGCATGTGCTCCTAGATTCCTTGAGTTGTTTGGTACTTGGGCTAAGCTCGACATGAAAACAATGTGAAGTACTGATCAAATACGTTCCTCAGGTGTCTTCAAGGCAGAGCAAATAGGCACTAGGTAATCACAATTTTTGAAGTGAAAATATAACAGTGTATTTAGGTTGTATTCTACCATTTTCCCACTATAACTTGTAACTTGTAGCACTACCTATTAAAAAACTTACGAGCAAATAAAAGCCAGTGCGAACTTTTTAGTAACACTATCTTTAAGAATAGGGCAGGATTTCTAAAAGATACGCAAGCTTGTACAGCATATTGCTTATCTAGACTATTTATTTGCGAAATCGAAAACAAAAATCCCGATATGTAGCTTTCAGGGTGCGCTAACATCGATAATTGAAAGGGTTGTTTTATGATTTCCGGACCCACTTTACTGGGTCACCCTGTATACTTAGAGATTTGGTGCAATGATAAAAAATGCTTATTTTTGTTCGTACTACAACATACAAAATTTTAAAAAAAATCGACCGGTCCCCGAAAACCTATATAGGCCAGGGCAGTTAGCAAAAATAGGAGAAGTTTTTGCAATCAAGCTGATTTTTTCACAGATGACAGTACCCATCAATAGTACTCTGTGAAAAAAAGTTACACTTGCTAGGAGGCTTGCTTTTTCCGCCATGATGAATTGAAGATGGCGGCTGGTGCTATTCTTGAAAAAAATCGTCATCATCTGGGAAAAAATCAGCTTGATTGCAAAAACTTCTCCTAAAGGCCATTTTTTCAGCTAACTGCCC